AGAAAAAGGCGAAACAATATTCAGACTAAAATAGAAAACAAATGTCTTTGAAATTAACGTCACAAAATGCACTGCAGTGAGCCAAGCTAAGAAGAATGCCTTCAGTGCACACCGTGCCTCAAGCAACTTCAAAGGGGAAAACAATAACACATTTAAAGTACATACAGAAGCAGCTCAGGTTTGTCATCAGCACAGAAAACTGAAGAGTGTGAATTTGGTCCAAAATCAAAACCACAGGTCAGAAGGCAGGTGCTCTCATGAGGGAGACAAATACCCTGGGAGTTTTCAGCCTCCTTCCAGCTTATTGACTTATGTTACATTTCTTCCTCTTTTTATAAGCATTGACATTACATCAACAAAAATTAAACATGTTACTAATACTTAATATTTTCTTTGGCCATTTCCATGATCTGACATCCAGACACTATTGAGTACAGAACTGTAGTGACTCATTTCTGTAAGAATCAGCACCTGTGGCCAAAGAGGGAAACACCACCATATGTGAACAAACAAATCAGAAGTGCCTTCTTGAAGGTTTCCTGAAAATGACCAAAGTCTAAAATTAAAATGAGGGTCTCCTTTTTTTGGAGGGACTGACCTTTTTCCCATGCAGCAGATAAAGAGAATGATCTCTGTTCATCACACATCCTTATAAAATTTGGGAAAGACACAGCATATGAAACCTGAGGCGCCAAAGGTCCAGGGTGGTTTCTACAGTCTGTGACACTCCAGTCTCCTAAGCAAATCTGTCCAACTGGCACTCCCTGCCCAAAGTAGCTATAGGTCTTTGGACACAAGCAGAAGATATCCTAACCCCGATCAACCCCTCTTTCTGCCTCTCTTACTAGGAAAAGGGATTAACTGGTGGGATAATCAGACATTGTTTACTCCCCCAGAGCTATGCAGAAAAGATTAAGGCCAAACCCCCATGGTAGGGGGATTGGAACTAGATGAACTTCAAGGTCCAATTCCGTGATTCTGTGAAGGCTTTAGTAAATGGGAACCTAAAGTTAGTAAGCCCATAGTGAGGCACTTAAATGATCTGATTTTTTTTTTCTTTTTTTAAACCACTGATCCCCCTGTAACTCTGTGAATGAATACCCTCTGATAATCCAACCTTTATATGTCTTGAGCCAAGATTAAAAGTGTTATTTGAGTAAGAAAATTATCCTCTGGAAAAATTAAGTTTGGAAAAAGGTAAGAATAGACAATAGCACTCCTATAATACCAGCTGAGTCAAAACTCCAAGCAAAGCAAAGGAGCAAGGAGAAGGAACAGTGAAATAATAAATGCAGTTGCTTCTTCTATTTGCAGATTAATAATTCAAGACCTATATTTATTTATTCATACTAATTGACCAAAGAAGTTATGCTGTGGAATAGCTGAAGAGAAACTAATTGCTGTCTCATTTTATTTTAATAGTATATTAAAACGCAGGCTAGACTGGAGACCTCTTCTCGACTTGTGCTGATGTTATCTGCCCTGAGACACTGGCAACTGGCCAGGGACTTGCCTACACTGATATTTAGGGCTAACCTTAGGAGTCAGATTAGGTGATTGTGCCTTTGGCTATAATGGACCACAAATGTGAAGCTCATTTCTTTTTGAGATCAATCTTTCCTCCTTTCATCTTTTTTTTTTCCACTTAAGTTGTGTTATCATTTGTTCAGCCTGTGCAAAGGGCCCTTAAAGTAGAAGTAAATGAATTTTGCAAAACCCACACAGGACCCCTTAATACCATTGGAATAATTGGGGTTTAACTGCAGTGAATCCTGCAGCACGCTAAATACAGGCATTCCCAAGCCTTTCTACAGGCTCATGACTAACCCTCCCACAAGAAAAATGAGACAAAAGAAGTGCAATATGCATTCTGCCATAGAGCCCTCTGTCTGTTCCTGCTCCTTCAGTGTTTTCCCCATGCCGTTTCCATGCTCTCCTGGTAACTACATTGATGGCACTCTCTTTGGTGTGGAGAGGCATTTTTTTCTTCTCCCTCCCTGCCCTCAGGTCTGGGCAACCCTCAACCCACCCTTCCCATCTCCCGCCCCTGCCCAGTTCCTGCACGTCCCCAGCCTCTTCCATTGGCAGGAAGGCTGCTACCACGGCTGGTGGTGGAGACCTCATGCACAGCAGCTCCTCTGCTCAGCTGCCCTCCCCAGGGGCATCCCCCCTGCTGCCACAGCACGAGTGGGAGCACCATGGCAGGCACAAGGACAGAGCCACAGTCCCTGCACCACGGGCCTAGGCACAGGAGCCACCATGCCACACCAAAAACCTGGCAGTGCTCCAGTATCCCGCCTCACACGTGTTTGGAGTTGTGCTGTTATGGGTACACCACACGAAGCCCCCCTCACCAGAGAGCACACGCAGGGCACCATCAGCAGCACGCGGTGGGACAGCAAAGTCCCCCTGCATTCAGAGCCCAGCATTTAGGCTGGTTCACCCCACACAGCCAAACAAGAAGCCACTGAACTGGAGCCCTGGCAATTTACATACCCTTTGCATAGATACAAATAAGCTCAGAAGGTGAAAGGCAACAGAGGAGCAGGTCCTTTGAGTGCAGGTGCTTTCATCTTGGAGTTTGCTAAGGACAGATGTAAAGGCAACTTACAATCCCAGTTGTGCACATTCCTCCTTTGAAGCTCTGCCCCTCTCCCAGCCCAAACTTTGCCATTTAGCACTCTCATTACCTTGTAAGGTCTGCTCCTCCCTTCAGCATTTCGTCTCTCTGCAGAGCAGCAAGCTGTTTCCCTCCCTTCCCAGGAATCTTAATTAACACACTTTTTTTCCTCTGTGTCTGTTTCCCCCACACACTCCTTCAGACATACCAATAGCTTCACTCAGGTTTGTTTCAATGCTTTCAAAGTTATCTTTAATTGCATTTTTGTTTTGCATAGTCACAAGCTGACCTTCACAGAAAACATAGTGTGCATCAGAATTTGAGGGCTTGTTTTGTCTGCTCAGGGTAACATGCAGAGCTACACCTGTACTGCTAATTTGAACAGAGATGGCACTGGCTCTTTTAAACAGTGATGATTCCATACTTACAATAATCTAGCAACAGCTTTTATTCCTCTGTACATATTCACATGATGCCAAATCTTCCTATCATCTTTCTAGACCTCATACTTTGTTGACTGACCCAAAAAGCCTTTCCTGTTTCTTCATTTGATTTCCTCTTAGCCAGCTGACTCACATCAATTCAAAAGACCACTCCACTAGGAGAGCATATAGTAACTTAGAGATGGAGGAACCTCTTCCCATTCGAGGTCTGGATGGGACCTGAGGGAGGATGGATGGATGGACACAGACTAAGTATGTTCCATGGCTCTGAATTTGAGCTTGCCAGCTCAGCAAGCAGGCAGTACAAGTGCAGGATAGCTTGTACAGTCACATAAACTTGCTTTCACACGTATCTTATCACCCTTTTGTTTTTAACACATCTTGTTGCTTTTCTCCTTTGACCTTAGGGAGCCTTAGCAACCTTCCCTGGGAATTACTCTAGTGGGAGCAAAGAGTTGCCACCTCTGCCTCTGGAGCCCTGTGCTATCTCCCTTCTGATACCAGCAATGGGGTGAAGAATCTGGAAATTCATCCAGGAGGCAAATAAATAACCTAAAATCCCTCTGACTTACAAATTGTGCTTGAAACCATGGAAAGAGCTCTCCCCCAGGACCCAAAATGAGCACTGAATGGGGCCAAGGAGGGGCTGGGGAGCAGCTCTGTGCCCTCCCCTGGGTTGTGCCCAGCTGACAGATGAGACCTTGACTCCCAAGTCCCTGTAAAATCAGCCAACAAAAACAAGTTATTAGGGGTGTATTCAGTCACAGAAAGCAGATTACAAATTACCCACAAGCAGCACTTGGAAACAAGATTATTTGTGACATAACAGATTGTCACCGTTGTAATCCAGAGCCTGTAAACACTTGTTAGTCGTCCACAGGCAAATGCAAATCTGTGCCAGTGTGGCTGTTTTTAGGTAGAGGTGATCTCGAAATACCAGATGCTAATATCTGAACCCTTTTCTGTGCCACTAATACTGTTCCCTGAATGCTTTCCCTGCTGACCTTAACCCAAATGTTGCCTGCACCTTCAATGGCCCTAAGACTTCGTCTTTGGGGAATTCTTTTATAAATCAAAATTAGGCATTATATTAGTAAGTGGAATTTTACAGGGGAAAAATTATTTCTGAAATCATATTAAGTAGACTTGATTAACCTGTCCTTAGCTCCAAGAACCTGTTGACTGTATTGTTAAATGATCTAAAAAATTAGTAATCAAAGTCAGAAATCAACATTTTACAACTGGCACATAAGGCATCTTCAAACAGTTGCTCCACCACCTCATTCACAAACGAATATATTTCAAGGGCTGACTGATTGCAGGGTGGCATCTCAGGATTGTGACAAATTGCAGAATCACACATCAACAGCAAACCCCTGCAGAGACCCAACTTTCCAAGGCATCCCGTAAATCTGAACGTGAAGCCAGGATGGATGCATGGCCACTGTGCCACAGGGATCTAAGCAACAGTTTCCCTGCAAGGGTTTTGGACTGGCAGCTGTGCAAACACAGACATCTTCCCTTAAAGAAGGCTAGCCAGAGCCAAGGCAACGAGGGGCTCTGCAGGGCAACACAACACAGCCATGGAGGAGATAATGGTATCTGTTCAGTAAAACAGATATTACTAGGTTATGAAAGTGGTGAGGTGGGAATCAAAGGCTGCTAACCAAGGCTTTGGTACTTGCTCATTATGAAAATAGGACAGCAGCAACGCTGTTGAAGACATTTTCCAGCAATCACTCCGTGCCCTCACTCACACATTGCCCAGATATCTCTTGGGAGCAGAAGACTCCAGCAAGCTGATAAATGAAGAGCTGGCTCCTGCTCAACTCACAGCACCACACTTGGGCCCAGCACCCTGAGAATGGCAGCGCTTGCTTGTGTTTTCATTATTCAGGCTTTATGGAAAATATTGCATGACTCCAAAGAGGATGTAGGAACATGAGAATTATGTTTTTAATCCATGATTAAGTCACAGTGAAACACTCACATGGCATATGCATTTGCAGAAGTAATGGGCCATGAGAAAAGGTCTCCTGTACAAGTCCCTTAAAAGGCTGAATAGATTCCTTCTGTCTCAGAGATTCTGGCACTGAGTTATCCTCAAAAGTAGTGTGAGCAGAGTTCTCATTTACTTGCTTGATACTAGTTTTAATACATTTGTAAAGCACGAAGAAGCAGTAGTAACCCATTGTAGGGAACAATAAAATACTTAAATTGCATGCCAGGTTTTTGCATAATGCGCCTTTATGTCACTTTGGATCTCATATCACGCCAGCTCAAGAAAAGTTCAAAGTTTGTAAATGAGTATTTCCTATTTTTCAGAGCACACAACACAGCTGATGCCACCCGAAAGCAGATCAGCAAGGAATAAATTTTTCAGCTCCCTGCAAGTTTTCCTCCTGAGCTCATTGTTTCTTGGCCCAGCCCCTGGCAGCAGATGACAGGAGCCTCACGGGGCCAGTGTGGTGTCCGAGGGTGCCGTGACACACACCCGGCCCTCTCTGCAGGGGCAGCTGGGTGGCTCTTTCTGCAGCTGAGCCAGGGCAGGACCTTTCTGCTGCTGCCCAAGGATTCCCCTCCGCTGGGAGGTTCTTCCCAGGGCTAGGCTGGCTGGCAGCATCAGGAAACAGTCCCAGCGTGCTGTGAAACGAGGGCCGAAATATGTTAATGTGAAGACTTTTTCCAAGTAATCTTTACCATCTGTTGTCTCACACTGATGTTAGTATTAATAATTTATAGACCTTCTCCTAAGGCTGAGGAGGAAGCAGAATGCTAAACTCTAAGACAGAGACAGTATCCTTTTTTTTTTTTTTTTTTTTTTTTAATGAGATTGATGTTGCTTCATACTATTGCCTTGCCCAGGGAATATATGGTGCTCTTCAGCTTTCTCCTGCTGTTGCTTTTGTAAGCCTTTTACTGAAAATAGCAGAGGCAAGATATTTATTTTAGTCCATTCCTCTGTTGCTTCTTTCCTTCTAAAATAAGGCATGCATCCTATCTGGTACATAAGCAAAGTGCACGTAAAGGTCAGAGGCAAAGCATAAGCTGACAATATAAGTCGCATTATAGGATGCAGTCACTGCCAGGCAAGAGCAGGCAGGGTTCCTTCTTGTGCTATCCGAGGCACTGCTAGGCTGAAGGAGCACAGTTGTGCTACCAGTTTAAGCCAGCAGAATCTCCTTGCTATATTTAACCTTGATTTCCTCAGAGACCAAATATGCAAATGACAAAATGCGATGCACAGCAAACACTGCTTTCATAAGGCAGGGCTAAATTATAGTCCCAAACAATCAAATCAGCCTTTCCTACTCACAAGGCTTCACTTTAATCCCTTATTAACAGGATTAATAGCAGACTTACAGTTCATACCATCTTACTCCCCTTTTACACAAACCAATCTAGCTGCTTTCACAGAGGGACAGGTGGATTAATAGTCTTAGTCAAAAACTATGGTGATAATGCAGAAAATCAGCCAAAGGGAGGGATTCCAGGGTGAAAACAGACAGCTGGAAGATTGCTATCACAGCCATGCAGTGACTTCACCCGCAGATAGAAATGTGAAATGCGTGGGAGACCCTTCTGCTTCTAAATTGAAAAGCAAAACAAACCCCCGAAAGATAAACAAGTACAGTAAAGGAATAAGTCTCTCTATTAATAAATGCTTACCAGAGGATAAACAAGTAAAGGGATAAAGAACCTGTGAAGCTCAGAAATGTGGAGGCATTCGCCGAAACATAACTCCGCTAAGAAACGCAAAGCTCTGACAGACTGTTATACAATCTTTGATTTCTTTTAATAACACTTGAAGGTCAGATGCCACAGCTCTTCCTGGAAATCCTAAAAAGACTGGGTGGCTCCCCAAGTTAGAAAGGAACTGCCACATCGTATGTTGTGCAACACAGAGCTATTGACCGAGGTATATTATATTACCTCCGCCAGCTGACTCAGCCCCAGTTGTTATAAAAGGCTTTGGTACCCGGGCGAGCAGCACGTAGCAGTCACACGCCCAGGGCTGCCGGACCCCGGGCTGGGGCTGGGCAAGGTCGGGGGGTCAGGCTGATTTAGCCCGGCACCCCCCAGCGCAGGGCTCAGCTGGGTTACCCGAGTTCACACCGAGCTATTGACGGGCAGCGGCTCTGCTTACTCATTACGGGATCAGCAGGGGACTGTCTGGGGCGCAAAAGTTAACCCTTCCCCCGCCCCGCCTAGCCAAGAAAAGGTCCTTAAAAAACAGCACCGGGAAGTCCCGGCTGGGGGAGCCGCCGGGGCTGGGCTGGTGCAGCTGTGCTGCTTAGAAAGGGGGTGGTGGAGGTACAGGGAAAAAGAGAGGCTATTCCCCAGGTGGGAATTCTAAAAAAGAAGGAGCAATGACACCTGCAGCCAGCTTTCACGCGGCCAATTAATCCCTCATTCCCGACTCCTGTGGTAAGGTAATCAGGGATAAGGTAGGGATGCACACTGTGGGGTAAAGCACGTTTCTCACCATGACCCAACCCGGGTGTTAGTCCACTAAGACGCCTGTGCCCATGTTTTCACTCTCAGTTTCACCAGTGTTCATGAAATTATTGCAATCTTGTAATGGCACTTTTTCCCTAATAATTCAGACCTTTACTGTCCAGACCCCAGCTGGAGTCTTGCGTCCAGCTCTGGGTCCCCAGCATGAGCAGGACGTGGACCTGCAGGAGTGAGTCCTGAGGAGGCACAAAGCTGGTCAGAGGGCTGGCACATCCCTCCTGTGGAGAGGCTGAGAGAGGTTGGCTTGTTCAGCCTGGAGAAGAGAAGGTGTTGAGGAGGACTTAGAGCCCCTTCCCGTGCATAATGGGTCATAGCACAGGTCATAGCTGAGGCCATAGCACAGGTTGCCCAGAGCAGCTGGGGATGCCCCATCCCTGGGAATGTTCAATCCCAGGTTGGATGGGGCTCCGAGTCTAGTGGAAGGTGTCCTTGCTCAGGGCAGGGAGGTTGCAATGAGATGATCTTTAAGGTCCCTTCAAACCCAAAGCCATTCTGTGATTCCATGTGAAAACATAGAAAACATTTTTAGGATAACTTCCTTGTGGCTTCACCTTTTAGAGCTCATAATCAAGATTAAGCATAAAAAAACTCCAAAAGATGGGGGGGGGGGGGGGGAATTATTCTTGTGCCTCACAGCCCTGTTAGGCAGTACTATGATTTCCTGGTAATGGCATTCTAATTTATGTCTTCTGAAGTTAGAAGTTGTCTAATATATCATCACAGCCCACTAAGAGATATTAAGGTGGTTTTATTTGGTACTTAAAACCAAAATAAAAATATTTCTGCAGTATAATAAAAAGTGCAATTCTCCCTTTTCCATCAAGTCAAAATCCTCTCTAAAGAAAATAGTTTCATTCTATCACAGAGAACAGATGGTGAATAGCAGGTATGCAAACTGTTCATACTACTCTTCTTTATTTCACCTTCCACTGTAATTATATTTCATGCCAGATTCCAAATGAAGTATTGAATTCAAAGATCAGAATTTGGTAGAGATTAATTTTGCAAAGCTTTAAACATTAGTTCAATTTTGTGACGTTTTGAGTGTAATTCATACACATCTCAAAGTGTGCCAGATACTTAGAGGTACATCAAAAAATGCAAAGGTCTTATCACAGTTTATACAATGAAAATTCTCAAATAAACAATGAAATATAAGTAAAAAAGCAGTGAAGTTTGCTTGCATCTGGCTAATGTCTCCATTAATTTTCATTAGTAATTTCTAATATTAAGAGCAGGGAATGTAGGATTTATAGCTCTTTTCAAAGAAGAGCCAACAGAAATTAGTTGGATTGGGCCAGTGGATCAGTACCAAGAATAGAGGCAGAAAAGATAGAACAGAGCCTTTAAAAGTGGCAAATGAAGGATTTCCGCAGATGAAGTGTACTAGAAGGAGATACAGAAAGACATTAAGGTGTGCATGTCCATGAAGGCAAGAGGCAAAAAAAATCTAATTTTGTAGGGAGGTCAGCAAAAGAACTTGAAGAAGAATGGGATTTGATCCAAGTGAAAGGTAAGATAGAAATCAGCTTAGGAAAAATATCAGGAGCCAAAAGAGAATGTGTCGCTTATCTATAACTTTTGAAGCGCTGGTATATTTGTTTGTTGGAGATTGTAGAGAAAATACAATTGTGTGAATTTTAAGACTGAATGGCAGTGGGAAAAGCTGGATAAGAAATGGTAAGTCAGAAAAAGAGGATATACTTACAAGCTTAATGAGCATCAAGGAAGAGAAGGAACTTTAAAGTGCTTGAGTTTCAGTTTGTTGGCATGTGGTTTTCCTTCTGCAGAGGGATATTGAGGAAGTTCAGCTGGCAAGGGAAAGGCAAGCTGTGAGCAAAGCAGAGTGGAAATGAAGAAGTTAAATTGCTGAGTTTGTAACGGGCAGTTGAAGATGTGGAAGTGTGTCATGACATGGGAATGGAGGAAAACAAGAAGCGTATGGCATTTCTGAAAGCTGGAGAACAGGTGGTTTTCAGGAAGGGAGGGTGTGCAGTCACCCTGCAACGGAAGGGAGGATGAGCTTGCTGGTGACTTTCCTGGCAGTGCTGTAAGCCATTTCTATGGACAAGGGGGAAAGAAAGCAGATTTTACAGAACTGACTGAGTAGGGCCACAACAAATGAGATTGTGGTTTTCTCTAACTTTTTTTTTTTTTTTTAACATGTTTAAGACATATGGAGGAGAAGAAAGGAAGCATATGGAGAGGCACTTGAAAATGGGGCTGGGGTCAAGAGAGATGGTAGGGGAAACAATAACATGTTTCAGAAGCAGAGAAGGATGGTTGAAGATGTCTCATTGTTTCTTCATGTTCCTCCATCTGCCAATATCCATCTGTTGGTTTTTTGTTGTATGCTCAAATGTCAACTCCAGTAACTGTTTAATGTCAAATGGATAATTGTGTCTGTGTCCCTTTCTCAATGATTTTTGGAGGGATATAGAAACTATATCTTCCAGACAGCACTGGAAGGGTGGGAAGGAAGGATCCATCCACTTGTTCTCTGCAGCCTAGAGGTTGTTGATTAAAAGATGCTGTTCTGGGAAGCAGAAAAGGTCAGATGTGAATCCATAAACCTGAGAAGGCCCCTGAACTTGTGAAGGGGGCGCCCTGAAGCCCATTGAAGTGCTTAACCCCGTTCTATAAAAGGCACTGATATCATCACCAAATACTAAAGGAAAAGTGTAAGAGGAGAATCTGCACTGGGGAAGGTATTCCCTAACTCCCTGTGGGCTGGAGCTTGGTGCCAAGGAGGTGAGATGCTGAAGACACCAGTTCTTGATGTCTCTCCACATCTGCTTCTCTCTGGGTGCCCTGGCTGCTTTTGAAGGCACCAAAGTGATTTTGTGGATGGTGGTTTGTGAACCCAGGTGGAGAACAGCATCACCACTGGCTGTCCATCTCCTGCCCTGGCTGCAAGTCACCTCTTGCACTGCAGAGGTGGCTCGTGGAGGTGTGTGCTGGCTAGTTGAGGAGAAGGAACACCTTTTTGTGAGAGACAGGTAGGGGAGCATAGCAGGCAGCGGATGGTGACATGCAGTGCAGCCCCACTGTGATCCACTGGAACCACTTGCCTCTCCCACAAGTTGCAGGAGCAAGAAAGGCATCCTGTTGCTGTTGCCTTGGCTTTTCTCTGTCAGGCAGGCACTTGCCCACCTTCAGGGGTCACTACACTGTGGCAGAGTAAGAGATGAGCCCCTGCATCACCATCTCCTGGCAATGACCCACTGGGAATACCCACCCCAGCAGTCATTTTCCCTCCTGGCAATACTCAGCGGTCAGAGCAGCCCAGAGCTGAGTCAGTCTTTCCCAGGTCACCGGGAATCAGTCCCTGCCTGCTGCATCCCCAACCCGCAGTGACATATCTGTAATTATGATTTTCACTGTTATGTTCATGATATTAGTATTTTTCTTGCTCTAGCCAAGACTCCTACTCTTCGTTCATGCATGAGCCTGTCATGCTATACAATTACAGTGGAGTCAGGGCCTGATCTGTACTATAATTATAACTGAGTCAATTACAACAGGCTTGTCTCCTGACCTGCTTCCAAAATAGCCCCATATTTTTTAAAGCAAATGGGATTTTAGGTGTATTCTTCAACCATGTTAATGCACTACTCTCGTCTTGGATTTAAACCGGGCTAATTTCTGATAAAGCAACCCTTTTTTTAGCATAAGCAGGAAATGGTCCAAACTGGCTGTTCATTTGCATTCACTGTCAGCTTCAAGCACCCTCTCTGAATGTCAGATATTTCCCGTTTGCATTCCCTCCCCACTTTGTGTGTTTGCTACTTCCTGGCATCCTTATCATATAGTAATGAATCATGCCGGAGTGAAGATGTCGAATTGAGACACAGAGCGGGACTAGTTTGGTCAGTCCTTGATAATCAGGCCTTTTAACAGGGAAATGCATTTAAATAGGTCAATGAATCTTACATGTCTGTGCATCAGGAATTATCAGCAGCTCAGACCTTGCAGTCGGGAGAAATTCTCTTTCAAGCAAAAGTTCATTGAGCAGCAAACTTTTCATTTACATTTACACTTAAAATGATGGTTTACCTTTGTGGGTTGTTGGGGGTCTTTCAAACTCTAATAAAAGATTCCTTATTTTTACTTTTTTTTTTCCTTAATATATGAAACAATATATTTCAAATTAACTATGCAATCCTGTTAGAGCTAGAAAGATGCTTATGTAATCTCCCATCTCCCAAAATGCAGTTGTAATTCCTAGGCTTTATTTTTTCC